TGTTTCGATTCGGCAGAATTGCATTTGGCGGCGCCGTGTCCGGGATTAAGCGTCGCGCGACTCGACTCCGAAAGAACTGGGTCATCGATCCCCAATATAATTTTAAATTAGCGCACATGGTCAGTACGCCATTGCACGTATGAATCCCCGGATTCGGAAGGGATCAGAATCGAAGAAACAATTCTAATACGGCGCGTGTCAGCCGGCATTTCGAAATTCTTTAGTCGCGACGATCTATCAGTCTAATCGGCGGCCGGCCGATTCGCGCGACGCACAATGAATCGCCAGGCATCACGGCAGCGCCGCTCCGCGTAATCCTCGCGCCGGCAATTTATATTAATTAGCCCGTTCGCGCGCGGGACCATTCGCGCTCAACATAAATTACCGCCACTAATGATGAATGTCAGATATAAACGTAATATTATGCAACCGTGCGGCTGTATACGAGTGCCGCGTCCGGGGTTGCCTTCACCCTCACGCTGCCAAGTAGATCCGGGTCGTTAGAGGCGCCCACTAGTCAGCCATACGTGACAGCGCGTACGTGTACGCACATATACACTCGTCGCAAAATCAACGTGACGTTCCTGTACGATGATTACAATCCGTCGACACGCACGGCAACACGGCTACGAATCGACATTATCTCCGACCGCGGTGATTACAAATCATTGATCAAAAATTAGCGAACCGCGCAATGATTGCCGTTTTAATAAGTCCTTCTATTCGAGCTCATCTACGTCATTCGCTCGTTACATGACGCATCGCTATCGCTATGCGTGTTTGAAACGTTTGGCGAGCGTAACGATGGAAATGCAACGAAGATTTGAAATTATGGGTGATTCTAATATTATACCATATAAATAAGTTATTCCCATTTTGGACAGTTTATGGTTTTCGAGCTATTGTTGCAGCTTCGTCGAAATTAAATGTTGACGAATGCCGTGCAAGGCGCGCCGTTTTATTTTCGCGATCAAATCTGGAGTTTCTGCATTGTGTTTTAGCAACCTAGATATGCTTGATGGGGCAATTAGCACAATCGCGACGCTCCGACTTGGCGGAGATAAGGAAAGCTACCCGAGGAACTTGTGTAGGCGCTGATATCGTGAATATTTTGACAGGCGTCTAGGTTTATTTAGCGTGCTCTGCTTGCTGACGGACAAGGCGTCGCAAACGCCTCCGTGCACATTTAAGAGCCGAATAACAAGTCCGGGCACGATCAGTGTAACGAGTTAGACAACTCTTGTTTTTAGCACCTGCCACTTTTATTCAGCCAACTGGAGAATCTTGCAGCCTCTGCATTTCCTACAATCTACTCGGAGAAATCCACCAGCCTTCTTCTCCCCTTCTCCCATCTCTTTCTCTACCTCTGTAGGCGTTCGAGTTCGTACACGACCCGCATACCAGTTCTTGTCTTTGCGAGACGCCTTTGCCCGATCTCGTCTCGTTGGTGCATCGGCCAAAGGAATCCCCGGGCCTCCTTCTCAAAAGTGGAAACATTGGGTGGGAAAGGTTGCAATCAAGCGCGGGTACGGACTTTGAGGGTGCTCCGTCCCGTTTTCTCACGGTCTGCATTATCTTCCCAGACTCCTGTCGCGATTCGAACTCCACCTTGCCCTCCCTCTCCCAAGTCGATGAAATCGGGGGCTGAGGTAGTAACAGAGGTGGAAGGGTCGCTCTTCTCTCTCCTTATCTCTCTCTATACTCGTGTCCTTCCTTCGTCCCCTTTTCATCCTTCGGTTTTAGCGAAATCGCCATCGATCGTCGTTGTGAAAAAGGAGTTAAGCTCAGCTCGGTGCACGTTGCGGGACTCGCCTTTGCGATCGTTCCTAGTTACATTAGATTTGACGAGGATGCGGTCTAAAAGCTCGCTCGAGCGGATAGTCAAACACTAAAATTCGGTTTGACATTTGTTCGAATGGATTGCTTTTATCTGAGAATCGATAATACCGAACAAGCTGCGCGTAATCATTGCCCGGAATACCGAATTATGCGCAATGTGTTGGAACAATATTTCGCCGACGATAATACAAACATAGGTGGAAGCCAGTAACTCTAAGGAGCTGTACAACAATTTAGTCAATCCGGCGTACATTTGTTGGCAAGCGATGGCACTTGGAATATCTGTAAGAATGGATGCGGCAGTTGCTTCACCACGTTGTATTCGTCAGTCACGTTGAATGACTGCTCCTCCGATTTCGAGTGACGACGGCACTTGAAATCCGAGTTTGCTTTACGTTTTGCTGATGTCTTAAAGCTCTCATTAGTTAGCTCGTCGTCTTCGACGAGCCAAACGACGGGCTGGGGGGGAAGAATTAGCGATGTCAATATTTGCGGTGCAATCAACTCGCTTCGACTTCCCGTCCCCGTCGTCGATTTGTCTCCCCCCTCCGCTTCCCCTCCGGTCCTGGCTTCGACACCGACGCTGATTGTCATCCACACTTCCAGGCTGCTCGCCCTGCGTTGTTGCTGTTGTCTTTTCTCATTTCGCCGGCTCGTTTACCTGATCTGTACATAGCGTCACCGATAGCAACGGGCGCCGACGCCCAGGTATCTGTTTTAGCCCGAGTAAATTTGAGGAACACGCTCTTTCGCGGGACGGATATCCGTAAACGTTTATTTGGTCTTCCGCATGTGCCTGCACCTTCGTCGTTCTCAATTTATTAGGTAGCGAGTAGCATCACTTGGCGCCGCACGAATGCTCTTTTATTTCTAAACCGCGTTAGCTAGCAAACTACAAACGATGTGTGACAAAGTTACACGCGGTAGAATCCGCGTACGGACCATTTGTACTTCTTACATTTGACAAGTCTCTGGCAATTTGTCGGCGTTAAGAATGATCGAGCGTCTCGAAAGGGATCGTGATGCCTGGGGATGGCCGGCGGCGGCGGATCGCGACGGCGAAACGGTCGTTTCGCGGCGCGAAGGAAGAAGAGAAATGTCGAAATTAAACTTTTCGCGAGTTATTTGAACGCTATCTGCGGCGCGTGTGGTATGAATCGAATGTCATTTGTTGGACTTAAACGAGTGGGCGGCGGTGAGATATAAAGAAGGAGAACGGCCGGGGAAGGACGGAGGGGGTTATAATGCAAACTCTTTCCCAGGAAAGGAAAGGAACTGCGGGGGCGTTGAATGGGAGAAGAGGACCACGTCGGCGGAAAAGCGCGCGTCAGCGTCGCAAATTGAAAGTCCGCATCCAGGGACCCACTATTTTCTCGTCTCCCTCGTACAAATCTTTGTTCGCGGCTAAGTCGTTGTAATCCTCAGAAATCAAGGGTGCGGTCGATAATCACCACCAGTCATCGTAGGGTAGCAGCAGTCGTTATCCATCGATCATTGATTACTGCAACGTGACGACTCTATAAATTGTAACTTGGTTTTTAGCTGCTGCAGCTCGTTAAAGTGCTTGCTCAATTGCGTATTCGTACAATAATTACATCTCGCGATTTCTCCTCATTACTCTTTCTTGGTGAGAATGATAGACCGAGAATGGTGGACGCGCGCGAGATTCTACGATCAGGTAAATAAGACAGGGTCCCGGGACTGTCGCACGATCTTTGCCCCCAACTAGTCCCATTCGCCTCGACGGGCATTTTCCCTCGACCTCTCGCTTTCCTCTTCGCTTTGCCTCCATTTTCAGCCCTCTCTTCTCTCTTTCCACCTTTGCACCTCTCTCCGTCCCTCTTTATCTCTCTCTCTCTTTCTCCCCTTCACCCTCACCTAGTGGCGTGACACATGGCCAGCATTTATAGCGCGAGATAGCGCCGGCGGTTCTCGACAGCGCCGGCAGATTTATCCTCCACGGTTATTGGAGTTATACAAAGGATTTTTCCAACTGATCCCATAAAGTATCTGTGCCTGATGCCCTATTATTTACGCAGCCGGCAGCGGCTGATGCCGCGAAAGCGCGCTCTAGCTTTTCGCTCCTCCTAGTTTTTGCGCCGGAATGCGAGCGTCGTCATGAGCTTGTCGCAGATGCTATTTTACGCTCCGTCGTTTTCGATTTATCGTAAAAGCGGTACTTCACCGATATCGCCTTTTCATCGCGTGAATTATTGTCGGTTGATGGCCATCGGCGGCATAGAGTATACGTGAAATTATCTTTCCCCGAGGGGGACTCTAGTAGATTCATTAGTCGAACTGAATGGGAGATATTTATGCACCTTATTTGTTATTCGAAACGAGAGAATGTCGGTAACAGCGAAAAGAATATCTAGAATTATTTTTTTCAAGCGCTTGTTAAAAGCTTTTGTGGCAACCATTCTAAAGTCCATCATTCTTATCACGCGTGTTTTCAAACGCAAATACTTGCATTGTCTGCAAACTGCACGCGTTACACCGGCCCATCGTTGTAGTGTTTATCCCTATGCTCACTCGTTCGTTCGTCCATTCGTTCATTCGTTCGTTCGTTCGTTCGTTCATCCATTTGTTTGCTAGCGACGAGTTCGTACCGCGTTGTTCGGCATTAATGGATGGCCCCTGTTTCCGTACGTTTTATCGCCAACTGGAGCTCATAGGTATCGTCCGAATCGTAACCGCCGGAGCCAAAACTGGCCGAAGCATTGATCCAGTTCTGTAGAATCCAGGTGAACAGTACGGCTCCACTCGTTATCTACGGTGATCCTGTCTTTGAATTCTTTCGGGTTAAAAACGACTTACAATCCTGGAAAGATTAACGACACTAGCGGAACAGAGAGGGAGAGATTATCGGAACACGTATAGAATTGGACGTACGAGCATATTATACAACTGACGTATAGCGCGAATGGAAAGTATTTTAAACTGCTTTGCAAATTGCAGTATTTTAAATGAATAAATAAAAATTCATAATTCTTCAATTTGTTCGACAATATTTATAAGCTCGTGTTACGGTGATAAAAATTCTCCGTTGTTTTACATATCTCGGGATACTTTATCGGTTTTTAGCGCGTTTTATTTTCGTGCACTTTAATTATCGGAAAATGGAATATACGTAATACGGGAGAATATTTTCTTGCTTGCAGGACTCCGAAGGCGACACACCCCTTCACGACGCGATCTCTAAGAAACGGGATGACATGTTGGCTCTGTTGTTGGACCACGCCGCAGACATCACCCTCACCAACAACAATGGCTTCAACGCTCTGCACCACGCTGCTCTTCGTGGCAACCCAAGGTGAGTGCTTCACGTTTTCAGATGTGATGCTTTTGTCCGCGATACTGAATGCGCCGTCGTTCTAGAATTTAACCGTCAGGTAGCGAAAGCTGTGGCAAAGAGAGACACCAATAAACAGCTTGCGCTGGATAATAATTACGCGCGCCCCGCTTTATAGGACTAATGGATCATCATATCCATGTATTTCGAGAACCCGTGCTCAGTTGCGAGAAATATCGCGTTAATCCGACGCACGTTTCATTACCATGACGTTTGCGCGTTAATTGATATTTTATTTACGCGCGCAATTCCGACCAGGAACTTTAATTAATGCGATAGATATGGTCTCTTTATCCGGGACAGGAGCGTTTAAGCTAAACGTCGATCGTGTACAACGGGTTTTCTGGTACGGGGCTTTTTTCCGCAAGAAGTTACGAGTAAGATTTTCCAACGGCATGTCCAATCGGCTCGTTCTTCCGTCTTTGTTCTCTTGTTCGACGAATCATAAAAGAACGTCGAACCACAGATGTTCCCGGAGCTGTCGTCGTCTCGACGTTCCCGTCGTCGTCGTCTCGACCAAGTCTAATCGATCCGGTCATTCTCGAGAGGTAGCGAGTCAATTTTACCTCGATTCTCACCTCCCGTCCTCCCGTTCAATTTAGCCACGCGGGCTCTCGGAGCTTTTCGAGATTTGCCCACTTCTAGTTATTACTTCTCGACGCAAAGACGGAGTAACGAGAATGATACGAGCGGATATTCCAATGGGGCCGATATCTAGTTTAAAACTACATTGCTTCGGCTGAAATAACATTATTTCGTAACGACGATTCAGTTTGCTTATCTATCCGAAATATGTCATCTTTTACAAAGGAGAGATATAATATTAGAAATGATAAGAGAGCCCTTTATACAGTTTTCTACCAAACAAATATGTGGCTCTGTCTCCTCGTGGCAGTCTTATTTCTTTTTGTTTACCATACTTGTTTTCACTCGAGAGTATTACTATCAATAAATATGGAAACTATAAAATAGAAAGCAACGGGAAGGCAGTAAGAGCCGACGCAGGATGTTAGATGCGGAATACAAAAGTTTAATGTAATGTATAAAAACACTCATAATGGTCAAACGTTTCGATCAGCTAATGTGATTCTTATCAAATAATTACTTACATCACAACGTTAATAATTCATATAAATATAAATTAAGAGCGGAAGCTTGAGTTATACAAAATAATCATTGTAACAAACAAATGTCGCTTGAAATGACAAATAACGATCTCACCCGGTGGTGGATGTCGAGATGCTGTGCTCGCATTGCAGTACGTAAGAGAAACGCCGAATGCTTCGTACGATATTAAGGAAGGAATTTGTTGCTCCATATACTGTTAACAGATTGTCCAAGATGTTGAAATATGAAAAATAAGCGTTAGAGACAAATACATACTGCAGGCGAGTCCAATGTGGTGTGGAACTTATTGGAGAGCTCATGTACCGTGCGTGAGATGAATTTTGAAGTTGTCAGCGCAATTATCCACGGAATAATGACCGGTAATGTCAGTAAACCGAGCAAATCATGGCTGTTGTTACATACGGAAATGTGGAAACTTTCAACAAGTTGAAATGCGATTATAGTATGTTACTTTCTCTCTTTTATTTTCTGCTTTCACATCTCGTTTTGTTTTGTGTTTCTCCTCGGTCTTTTCACACGAGAGGTCTGTTTCAACATTCGTATCTGCTTCTGGATTCTGAAAATGGCGGCGTCAGATGCGCATAGTAGTCCCACGGTTACGATTGTGGGACATCTATTTTTAATTCAGTCAGATCATATAAATATTAGTGATTCGCGATTGCTCTCGTTCCGCGACGTTATCGCTGAAATAACAGAAAAGCTTTCACTATGCGACGCGCGAAAAGGAGTCGATATCGAAACTTGCAGATTTTATTTGCCTAGATTTCCTCAATCCTTTTTAAGTGCTGCAAAACGGAATTAAAGCGACTGCAATTCTCGCCACAATGAAGAAAAATTTCACAATTGTCTAATGTCCAGGAGATTAATCAGCGAATATAATCATATACATGTGTATATGATTGCTCGATAAATTCTCATTCAGTCGAATTATCATGTTTTAATTGGCAATAGGGAAGAGTGAAAGATCGTGAAACAAATTTCTCTGACGAGTCGTCTCCACATACTTCCATTGTCGTATCAGTTTACGTACATAGGCTAACGTGTATGGTACGCGAACATTTTTTTAGTTTCGTTCCGTCGTCATGAGCCGAGAAAACAGCGTGAAGAGTGACTTAATAAGGTCACGCGGGTTCGACCGTTTTGATCGAATGACCTCGTGATCCAGTTTACCACCTGCATTGTAATCCGAGACATGCGTTATGAGGGATCGGTGAGAACGCGATATCGTTATATTTATTCCCGTCCCTCGGAGCGAACGATAAGGATATTCGTCCGAGGAGTACGTACATCAAGAAATGTCAACCTAGCCGTCATCCGCCGCCATAGCCGAGGTAATTATAGCGACTATCTTATGTAGGAAAGACGCTCGAGGGTGACTCGAAACTAATTCAGACTAGGATAGTTTGCGGTAAATGAGTACTCGAAACCGATGAGGTTTACTTTGCCTGTCATTATATAGACCGAGGAGCGAACGTTTCGCGATGCAGCGCCTACTCGAAGGCACCGCAATCACAGAAACGTATTAGCGCTGAGATAGGCGGAACGTACTCGAAGCGTGCCGTACAATCAAGGATCGTTTACTCTTCGCGAAGAAACAGTGATCTCCGCTTCAACAGAGCGCGATAAACGTCATAGTATTCGCGCGCGTACGGTGCAGGCGCGATACGGGGTCAGCCGGGCTGCAAGGGGGTAAGCGTTTCGAACGTGATTGCTCGGCCCGAATGCGAGTTTAAAGCGTCAGCGAATACGTGTCCGTGTTCGTTACACCGGTTGCATTCCTAAAGTACACTTAGATAAAGACGAATGCCGGGTATATCCACTGCGACCAATCCCGCTCTCCTCCGCGCGCGCGCACGCCTGCCAGTATTCTTTTAGTCTTACTCCCCGGTCATGGACGGGCCACGGCCTTTCTTACGGCACTCTCGGCTGCCCTTTCCTGACCTCTGCTCGTGCCCTGTCGGCCTTTTCCCCCGCGTTTGCACTCGCCTTCCGAAGGAGCCGTCGGTTTCTCTCAAGACCTGTGCTGTAGCGCTCTGAAGCCGAACGAACGGACGTCCGGAGACGTAATTTCCTGCCCTCCTCTGGTGCGGCCTGCCGACTCCCTTCCATCGCCCTGCTCTCTCTCTCTCTCTCTCTCTCTCTCGCCACGTCTGCCGCTTTGTAGGGTACATTCTCCGAGGGTTGTCGACGAAACTTCTCTCGTTTTCCATGCTTCTGCCCACGGTTTCTGTACGCTTCCGAATTAGGGTCGAGCGGCCAAACGTGATTGCGAACACTCGCAAAGGCACTCGTGCAACATTTACAAAGCTTTAAATTTGCAATTATTACGAATCAACCATGTGTTATTAACCATATCTGGTGGATAGAACGAGCCGACGTGTCGTTCTCGAACGGCGATCAAGGGATCGACGTTTCAAAGGGGGTCGTTCCAATTAGAAGAAATCTTGGCGTTCTTAAATTATTTCTATTTAGAGAAATCAACCGAAATCGATTATTAATTATTCAAAATACTCGCACTCCGTAACGTCATTGTTATTATACTGAATTGTTAATTATATCGTATTTACGTTATTATTATTACTAAATCCATTGTGTCTCTGCTAAACCTTTTCAAAGGATTATTGCCGCAACATAATAAATTTCCACTCTACTCTGTCGGAGCAGAGCAGCGTGAAGTTACCGTATAATAAATAGTGCATCAGCGTTACATTATCGACGCTGAGTATTCTATGAGCCATAATATTTTTACGGCTATCGAAACACAGTGAGCCCGATTGCAATCAATAATGCTTTATCGTTGTAAAAGTAGAGTACGGTCAAAGCGTCGGTCAATACGCGGGCGGGCGCTACGGTGGAAGGGCATTAAAATTGGTCGATTATGCTATCCCTTTGTTATTGCCGGATCGCAATAGCCTGTTATTCAACCGTGATGGTCTAATCATTATGCTCGCGGACAGAGATACAAATACGAGTCATATACTAAACTCTACCACATGAATCGGATCGCCCCCTCTGGCGCTAAACATTGCGGTATCATCCGCGTGTCGATCTCTGATTGACGTAAATCACGAAATCGACTGTTTAAACTGTCATCCATTGTGACGCCCACCATTGTAAAGAAATGGCGCAACCGCCTCGCCTAGATAAGCGCTTTGAAAATATATCCACGCGCGTATCTACGTGCTCGGTGCGGCGCGGCCATCGGAAATTTTCCCGTCGACCTAGCGCGCATAATCTTTCCAATTGTAACCGCGTTAATTACAGCCTCCGGTGCGATCGTTGCGTTTCGCGACGTCGTGCACACGCATTTTTCACCACCGTCACACGCCGTGACGGTCTACGACGAAGTTATACCGCTAATTCGTGCTCGCTCTGATGTCTCGCGCGGCTTGATTATGTTAGTCACACACGCGGGGCCACTTGGTGCCGTTGATCCAGCAACGTACACACATCGCGCGCCCCTGAGCCGCTTTGATCTTCCCCTCGCGGAGCCGTATTCTGATTGTGACACGCCGAGTCAGAACAGCGCAAGATCCCCGCTGCTCCGGCAGTCAATTCCGCTTGTTTTGTATTATTTCCGTCAGGACAACGGTCACGTATGTTCTCGCCGAAGAGCTTTGCCGGGACTAGAGTCCGGCGGTGGCTCGTGATTAAAATTTCGTTAGCGCGTAGCCTCGCGACTGATTTCGTGCGGCTTTGTACGTTAACGTGTCGTCTATCCGTTTCGGGTAGCCGCACATCGAGCCGGGCTTCTCTTTAAACATCAGACCCGAACAACGGTTGTCCGTTCCGTCCGTTGTTGTACGAGAATCGCGTCTCAGATTAAAGGCAAA